CTGCTCCGTTAGCCTTATTGAACACACAGTGAAAATGAGGCCGAAAGAGGAAAAGAGACAACCAAAGTTAGAGTGAGGCCGGAGAAGGGGGCAACAGAGGACAAGATGGTTGGATGGCATCACCGACTCAGTGGCCATGAGTTTAAGCAAGCTCTGGGAGATGGTGAAGGACAGGGAAGCCTGGCGTGCTGCAGTCCATGGGGTCACAAAGAGTCAGACACGAATGAGCGGCTGAACAAGAACAACAGAGTGAGGGAGAGGTGATGGGCCATGATCTCAGGCTTCTGCCTCCAGCTCTAACTGTTTTCCCACCTGGGAGCCTCCTGCCCTTTCCTGACCCCTGTTACCATTAAGCTCCTCATATTCTGTTGGGTTGAGTTACTTCCATCTCTCCCATAAAGCTTCAAGTTCCCTGACCAAGTTCTGTGGGGCTAGAAGCCAGAGGCATGGGTTCTGGGCTCAACATTGCTTCTGATGCACCATGTGGTCTGAGCCTTTACCCCATCCTGTCCCCTGGCACAAACGCCTCCTTCCCATCTCAGGGCCTTAGTTTTCCCATCTGACTAATGAGGCCCTGATATCCTGGGACCCCTTGACAACTCTTCATCAACTGGGTAAGCACACGTGGCCATGTTCAGGAATGCGGATCAGGAGCCAGGCTCTGAGGGTCCCAGCTAGAACATCTGGACAGTCCCCTGGGCTGTCACGGCCAGTGGCCAGAGCCAAGAGCTGATGCAGCCCATCTGTAGTGTCTCCTCTGCAAGGGGTCAGTCATTTCTCTTTAGGGCAAGCACTCAGAGCATCCAGCCACCCCACACTCTCTGGGTAAGCAGCTTGTAATAACCTGTCCCCAAAGCAGGTTGCCCTCTCCCTCATCCACATTCTAATCCCTGCCCATGCTGACACTTTCACTTCCTAAACAGTTCTCATCTCCTTCTCACTGTCTCTAGTCCAGATTCTGGTCATCCCTGGCCTGGACCACTGCAGTAGTCTCCCAGCTCATATTCCCATGTCTGTCCTGGATTATATCTGTCCAGTTCATTCTCCTCTCTGCTTTCAGCACAGTCCTTTCAAAATGCTCAGCTGAATCACCGCCCTACCACCTCCACCACCCCACCTTTCTATTTAAAAGACTTCAGTGGTTCACCGTTGCTCTTTAAATAAGGGCCAAAGTCCTTAGGACCTCTTACCATGCTCCACGGCTGTGGACCTGGTGTGGCCCCTGCAGACCTCTTCACCGCTCTGCCCTCCCAGTCTCTGCCTCCCAGGCACACCACCTCTACCACAGGTGCCACCCAGAGCTAGCCTTCAGGACTCTCCTAAGGGATGTATTCCTTGTGCAGCAGATAGCCCCTATCACTGGGACCAGCCAGGACTCACTGGGAGAGGCATTTTCATTCCAGTATACATAACAGAATTTTAACATCACCCTCACCAGGCTTTACCTGACTTCTTAGTGAATGGATGAATAAATGAATGACTAGAACTACCATACACTCGGGGTGCATATTTTTAGCTTAAAACTTATTTCATTGTGCATGCCTATGTCTGCATATATGGGCTTGGGGCTGGGCAAGCTCTGGCCTCTGGCTGTCTGGCCTGAATTCCAGTGGGACACTCATGGGCAGCTATGTATCAATTACAAGTTATCAATAATGCATCTGTTCAGAGTGGCCTTGGAGGCCATTAGCTAGGACCGCTGGCCCTGATGAGCGGCCTTGGAGAAAGCAGGCTGGGTACGCCCATGGGAAGTTCAGATCAGCTGGGGCCGGGGGGCCTCCTAGCCCCAGCAGAGCAAGGGAGGGTTGCCTAATGGGTCCTCCGTGACATCTGAGACTTGCTGCGAGAAGGGTGGCTCCAGCCAGCTCCCTCTGTACAGACTACCCTGTAACAAGCCAGCCTTGCTTTCTCACTTTCCGAGACCAGTGGCGCCATCTGGGTACTGGCTTGTTAAGATCCAGGTCTGAGCCTAGCCTGAGACCAGAGTTAGAGCCCAGTGTGTGATCAGGTTGGGCTCTCAGTTCGTGACTTGGGTCAGGGCTCAGGTGTGACCAGATTTGGGGCTCACTCTGTGAGCAAGATCAGGGCTCAGTGCTGGGGCGCAGGCTTTGTCTCAGCTTTGGGCCAGGGTCAGGACCCAGTTTGTGGCTGGTGTTAGGACTCAGCCTGAAACCACAGAATTGGGCAAAACTGACTAGTTTCACACATTCATGTATTGATTCCCTCAGCAATATTTATTGAGGGCCTTCTGTGTACCAGGCAACAAGACAGACAAGACCCCTGCTCTTGTAGAGATTATCTTCTATACTTTATTCTTGTGTATATATTCTACATTCCTGCTCTAACAGAGGGCCAGTTGTGAAGGTTTCTTCCCTGTTCTGCATAACATCGTGTTGGTAGTTTGGAACTGGTCATGGTGGATTTACCAGAGATTAGCATGCACTGTAAATCGGGCCTTTTTATTTTTATAATACCTGCACACCACTGCAGGTGAGAGGAACACCCATAGACAGTTTTTGAAGAAAATGGTGGAGTGACCACACATGTTTATCTGATCTCCTTCCCCAAATTCCACTAAGATGGTGGTAAAGAAAAAAAGAATCATAAACAGATAAGAAAAGAAATCCTTTAACTCCTGTCCATCAGGACAGAGAGGAGAGAGAGAGTTCTGTGGATTTGCGGGAAGTGGAGAGAGAGAGCAAGAAAGTGGTAACTGATCTCGAAGAGAGGAGGATCTGTCACTAAAGGAGTGTGTGAAGAGGTGGCTAGTGAAGGATATGGGCTAATTCCTCCTCAGAACCCTGGAGAGTTTGGAAGGAAGGGGTGAGTGTGAAGCTGACCATAGGGGAGAGGGGTGGGCTAAAAGTCTGTACCCATGCTATCTGAACCCTCCAGGTCCCCTTGCAAATCCTGCACAGTCAGGAGACCACACTCCCCCACCACACAAGAGGCAAGAGTTTCATCCTCTGGAGAAACTGAACCAGAGGGCTCTGCGAGTGGGCACCAGGTGAGGCACACCCCGGGAATTAGGTCCATGTCCTTTCATCTCATGGCCGGACCCTCAGCCCCATTTCCCTGCTCTGCTCTTAGCACACAGGTGGCCAGAGGCGTGTCCTCAGGCAGGAGGCTGATGAACTCTACCCAGACCTGAGTGGTCCTTGAGACAAAACCCGTGAACACTGCCATTGGGAAGATGTCCCAATGCCAGTTTGCTGCCCAGCCACTCTACTGTTAGTGAATCCTTGAATTGTGTTTCACTTTCATCAAAGGAAAAATAATAAAACATTAAAATAAAATTTAAAAAATATCAGAAGGTGCTAAGTGCAATGTAGAGAATTCAAACAGGGTAATGGGATGGAGTGCCTGGGTTAGGGGTCCGGGAAAGCCTCCAAGGAGGGGAGGGTCAGCCATGTGATATGGGACCAGAGGTTTCTGGAGAGGTGATCCTGAGACCAACACAGGCTTAGTGTGTTTAAGGAGTTTTGAGAAGGTGTCCCAGTGAGAGGTTAAGGGAGAAAGGGTGAGAGGAAGTGGGCCAAGTAAACGGAGCCAGAACACACACCTGCTCTGTAAGTCAAGGGTGAAAAGCTTGGGTTTTCTCCCACCCACGGGGAGACATGACAAGGGGGTGACATATCTGATCTGGGTTTATGAGAACCCCTCTGGCCCCTGTTGGAGGATGGATGGTAGAGGATGTGGGGCTGCAGTCATCCAGGTGAGAGCTGGCCGTGGAGGTGCGGAGGTGGGTAGACTTGGGGTAACCGTTCGGGAGCTGGACTCGAGGGCAGAATGGATGGCAAGGATAATGGAAAGTGAGGAAGCAAGGGAGGAGGTTACATTTTTGGCCCCAGCTAAAATGAGATGAAAGCACCTGAGGAGCAGCTGTGAGGACAGAGTGAACAGTCCTGTTTAGACTAGGTTGAGTTTGTGATATCTGTGACCCAATTCTGTTGCTGTCGGGCAGGCAGCTGGAGGTGTGACCTGACATTGCAGGGAGGGGCCAAGGCTGGAGGTTGGAATCATGAGCAAGCAGGTAATCTCCTAGGTAGGGAGCTAACCCCCAGCTTCAGGACTTTGGGGGTTTGACTGGAGGTTGTGGGGTTGTGCAAGAGCGATGCAATGTGTGTTTGGAACACTAGGTGGCAGTAAAGACTCTCCGTCCTCCTGAGTCCGCAGTCAGGCCGTTCAGAGTCAGACCCAAAACTTTTGCCTTCACCCAGATGACCCACGAAGGCCCCAGAGTGTGAACAGCCATCTCAGCCACAACCACAAGAGGCATCTGAAAGCCTCTCTAGGAAACTTTCCCCAACAACAAAAATTTAAACTAAAATAAAAATGTATGACGCCTTTTACAAAGCCTTTATGAAGAGCTCTGTGGGGTGATAACCCCCATTTCACAGAGACAGAAACCAGCCACAGGGTTGGGACCAGAGCCCAGTCCGACCAGCGCTCGGAACACCTCGGAAAAGAAGGATGTGGGCGTTGCTAGAAGACAAGTGGGTCGGGCACAGACCAGCGAGCACGCGATGCCATGATGGGCTTCCCTGGCAGGTTGCTGCTGGCCCTGGATATTGTGGGGTTTCCAGTCCTCCGCTCAACATTGGTGTAAGACACCTGAGTATGTTCTCATTTTTTGGGGTCACACATTTAGACCAGTAACTAGAACAGGATTCAAGTCTGATGTTCCCCGACTCCTGGGATGCTTTTTTTTTTTTTTTTTTTTTGGCAAACCACCATTGTGTTCCTCCTACAGCCATCTTGTCCTCACGACACAGTATCAGAGATGGGACACGGGAACATATTTTTTTACTTGGAAAAGCCTCCATAAACGTCAGTGACTCTTGCCATTAGTGTCGTTGGGAGATTTATAAAGGAACGCCCCCTCCAGTCTTTGGAGGCTCAGTACCTTCCTCCCTGCTCCCCCAAAAGGAAAGCGCCCAGACATCTCGCAGGGCCTGGGTCCCCGTGCTGCCCACCAACCACTGCCCCTCTCCTTGCAGTTTGAGATCCGACAGCTGCGGGCGCACCTGGCGCAGCAGGACTTGGACCTGGCGGCGGAGCGCGAGGCGGCGCTGCAGGTCCCGCATGTGCTTAGCCAGCCGCGCAGCCGCTACAAGGTGGTGGAGGCCGGCACGTGGGCCGAGGAGACGGCGGCCGAGAGCGTCGTGGAGGAGCTGCAGCCCGCGCAAGGTGAGTCGGCCGGCACAGCTCCCTCGCTGCCCTCGGGGTCTGCGCACAGCATCCGGGAGCTGGAGCAAGTCTCCTGATGGGACTGTGTCCCCATGTCAGCCCACAATTTTGGGGGGGGACCCTAGTTTAGTGCTCCCTGGGACTGCCTTTCTCAGCCGCGGAGAAAGCGTTCAGTCAAGCTGCCTTGACCCGACTTCGACATGATCTCAGTGGCCTGTAGTGTAGTGACCTACACTTGCCTGCTTTGAGTGTGTTACCTCCCCATTCCTCGCGGCAGCTTGCAGGAGACTTTCCTAATTTATGGGTGAAGGGACTGAGCCCCAGAAAAGTCGTCCAAAAGTGCAGAGCTAGGTTTCCAGCCAGACTTTCCTATTGGGCTGCCCCCACCCCCGACCCCCAGGACCCAGATAGTAAGGGGCCTGGGGTCAGAACAGCCGAGAACCTAAGCCTTGAGGATGGTGGTAAATTGATGGGCCAAATTGATGGGCCGGTGATGTTGGTGGAGATGGGGGCCTTGGCTATACCCTAGGGCAGAGTTCTCTAGAGAAGACCAGCTGTGTCACCTTGCAGTGGGGACTTAACCTTTCTGCGTCTTGGTTTCACTAGCTGTCAAATGGAACGATGCTGAGCCTTCCTCACAGGTTCCTCTGAGGCCCCGGGAAGCAGGTGCAAGTGGCTTTCAGAGTTGCAAAGTAGTCCTGCAAATGTCAGGTGGTGTTACTTTGTGATTGGTGTGGAAATACCCCTACATGGTGAGGCAGCTGTCAGGTTTGGGCCTTTGTGGGGTTTGGGGAGGCTGTGTTCTGACGGGCTCAGGCCAGGACTTGGCCTGCACTGGGGCCACCAGGGGAGATCTGCAGCCTTGTTGGAGCCCCCAGGGGAGCCTAGATGCAGGTTCCCCTCCCCAGGCACCCTTGCTGCTCTGGTCTGAGTCTACCCTGCCCTGACTTGCACCTGAAAATGCTGTTGCTAAAATGATGGCTAAGGGATTTCTTCACTTTACCAAGATAGATTTTTTTTTAAATCTTGACTTCCCCTAATAATTCAGAATACATTTCTAGGACCACCTTTTTGACCTAAAGATAAGGGAACTACCAAAATGCCTCCAAGAGAAGCTTTTTACAGTGTGATTTCATTCCATCCTCACACCTCTTTTCTGTCATATGGAGGGAGAAACTCAGGCCCAAAGAAATCAAGAGAACTTCATGGGGTCACATGGAAATGGAGGTGCTGGACTCAGCTAACTGCAGCTTGATCTAGGGCCCTCTTCACTTTGGCATGCTCTATTCCCCTCACCAGGGCAGTGACAGCCAGGCAGGGCTGGGCAGGGTAGGAGGCAAGAAGCCAGAGCTCCAGACTGTGCCACTCCCCAGCTCTGCGACTTGGGGTCTCAGTGCTCCCTTCTGTAAAGTGGGCTCATAACTCCGGCTCTGTCTGCCTCACAGGAAGTCTGGGGAACTGGTAGACGTGAGAAAGCTCTGTAGGCTACAAGGTGCTGTGAACAGGTTTGGGGGAGTAGGGTGATTGCTATTATGATCTTTTGAGAGACCTTCCATCCTTAGAACTTTAGAAGTTGGGGGGCTCAGGACTTCTGAGTCTAGCTCTTCAGCTGACGTGCTAATCCCATCTAGGACCCCTGCCAAGAGGTTTACCAGCTTCTAAGAACAGGTACCCGGAACCTCCCAAGGAAGCCCAGGCCAACCCAACTTCACATGACTCTGCCTGTTAGAAAATACTTCCTCAGACGGAGCCAAGGTCTACCCCCGGCACCCACCTCTCCCACCTGGACAAAGCTTTTATGTCCCAGCTGAGACAGCCTTTCAGAAGCTGGCCTCTGGGTGCCTTCTCCTCAAAGGACTGTCACCTGCATCCCCACAGCCACTCCTCAGGGGACACAAGCCCTCCAATTTCTTGCTGCACAGTCCCTCCCTGAGCAAAACGGAAAACCAGTTGTTTCTGTCCCTCTCAAAGTGACATCTAGAACTAAGCATGCTTCTCGGGGAGCTGCAAGACCAGGTCAGAGTGTTATGGGGCCACGCCTGCTTTTTTGTTCTGGACACAAGACCCCTGTGACTGAGCCTTGTGGTGGCTGCCTGGCCTCAGCTCACAGATGAGCCAGGTCATGGCTCTGTTGAGCCCTGGAACCTCCCCGGCAGCCCATCCTTGACTTTCTATATGCCCATGCAGAGTCTGACATTCATTTGTGTTCAGTTGTAGCCTGATTCCTGCCTTTACTCTGGGTTTCCAGGGCTTTGTAGGTTCTACTCACAACTCATCACCAATCCTGCTGGTTTTACTGCCTACACATATTTTGAAACATTCCCGACTTTTCGTCTGCATTGTTCAGCCTCCCTCTTTCTGGACCTCATCTGCTTCCTTGACCTCAGCTTTGCCCCCATGGGTGCCCTCTTCACTCCTTCCCCCCACCCCAACACACACACACACACACACACACACACACAGAGTGATCTTCCATAATCTTTCATGTCACTCTCTGACTTAATACCTTGGCTGGTGATTTGCTTTAGCTGCCGAAACAAAGTCCTGCAAACTGGGTGGCTTAACCAACAGAAGTTTCCTGTCTCTGAGTTCTGGAGGCTGGAAGTCTGGGATCAGGGTCTTGGCAGGACTGGCTCCTTCTGAGTTGCGAGGGAGCATCTGCTGCCTCTCCCCCGGCTCCTGGCGCGTTGCTGGTAACCCTTGGCGTCCCTTAAAGAAGCATCACTCTGACCTCTGCCTTCTCTTCACATGCTGGCCTCCCTGTGTGTGTGTCTGTGTCTGGATTTCCCTTTTTACGAGGACCCTAGTCGTGTTGTGTCTGGGGCCCACCCTACTCCAGTATATGACCTCATCTTAACTAATTCTGTCTACAACAATCTCATTTCCAAATCAGATCACATTCTGAGGTCCTGTGGGTTAGGATTTCAACATATGACTTGGGAGGCAGAGGACACGGTGACTCAGCTTGTAACAGGTGGCATGTAAGGCCCTTGATATTCTTGTCCCAGGCTGCCCCCTCCCAGCCCCTGCCATCTCATCTCCTTCCACTCTGCACTCCGTCTTCACTTTCACTCTGGCTGAGTGAAGCATCTCTGCATTTGGAGAAGTGTTCTGTGTAGTAGTAAGTCCCTGAGGTTTCCCACATGCTGTTCACTGGCAGAACAGGCCTGCCTGCCAAACTTCTTTTCATCCTTCAAGCCCGTCTCAGAGTTAACTCCCGGTCACCGTGTCCTTCCCTTGAGACCTTATATGAACCCCCGCTTGCCAGGTCACCCCCGTATTTTATCTTCGGAGCCACACCTGGCCCTTGGCAGGCTCCCCACAGAGTGATCTACATGGAATATAGTCTGCAAGCTCATAGCTGACTGAAGAACAGAACAGATCTGTGGACATGGCTTGTTTCACTATGGGTCCTGCAACCCTGGGTCTTCTCTCAGCGCTCAGGGGGCTTCTGGCAGTAGCCCACTCCAGAAACCCCGCTTGTGGCTTGCAGCTCCCCATGCCAGTGCTTGGGGAATCCAGAATATAAGAATCTTGGTTTTGAAAATTCTGGAAGTTGGTGGCAACTTTTGCCCACTTTGTCCTGTTTTCCAAGGATGAGAGGAGCAGGTTTACAACCTATCCCAGGGTCTTCCCAGGTGGCGCTAGTGGTAAAGAACTTGCCTGCCAGTGCAGGAGACTTAAGGAGACACAGGTTCAATCCCTGGGTCAGGAAGATTCCCTGGAGGAGGACATGGCAACCCACTCTGGTATTCTTGCCTGGAGAATTCCATGGGGAGAAGCCTGGCGGACTACAGTCCATAGGGTCGCACAGAGTCGGACACAACTGAAGCTACTTAGCACGCACAGCTGGCCCATCCCAGGACCTTCCTGCTAACGAAGCAAAGTGAGGCGGAGGAGCTGCCTCCTTGCTCTGCCCTGGTGGCTGCTCAAGCCCATTTTGAGGCTGCAGCTCACCTGGTGCTGGAGCCTGCTCAGCGCTGTTCCGTCTTGGGCAGTGCGCACCTTTGAACACCTGAGCTCAGGTGAGCACCTCCGGTGCAGCCAGTCATTCTGCAGCACCTCTCTGCCTCTCTCATCAGGAGCCTTCGCTCTTGAGATAACAGCCTGGCCATTACTATCCCCACCCCCAGCCAATGACCTCCAGATCCCGGACACCTGATGCCACACTTGGATTCGCAGGGTGTCAAGATCTGAGGTCACAGAGTCTGCAAACAAGCCAGGCGTTTAAAGTAACCGCACACATTCCAGTACTGTGAAGCCGTGAGTCCCTGCCTCTCCACCCTGTTCCTTCTCTCCCTGCAGTCCCCACGGTGGGCACCTTCCAGCAGGAAGTGGAGGGAGGCAGAAGAGGAAGGTAGAAAGTGATCAGCTACACGTGCCAGCCAGGGGGGGTCACGGGTTCTGTGCCAACCCTCCTGGAAACTAGAGGCATGTCTGACTGGGCACTCGGATCTCCCACAGAGCTGGCAGACGTGCACCCCTGGGAGCCCTTGCCAGGCCCCTCCCATCTAGCCCTGGAGCCCTATCCTTGCTCTCTTCTGTCTCCTTTGTGACATCCCTGCCTCCTAGCTCTCTAGAGGCACCCCAGGCCCGGCCTACTCAGCAGAGCGCTAGCACATTTCCCAACCTGTCACTGGCCTGCCAACCCCCAGAGCCATCAATAGCAAAGGTAGTTCCTGAGACAGAGAGCAGAAGCCTTGCCGGGCTAGCAAGTGGCATGCATGATTCACGGCCTTAGAGGGGCTGGGGAGTCAGGGCACCCCAGCTCATCTCTGTCTGACCAGGACTTGTGTCCAGAGAGGGATTTCCCCGATGTTAGAAATCATGGCTAGACAAGCTCGGGGCGCTCTGGGCCATGCTGGAGAGGGAGAAAGGGCAGCGTTTGTTGCTCACCATGACCTTCAGGCCAGCGAGGGCCCCAAGGCTCAGCGTGTCACACCAGTGCATAGACAATCCGGGGATTAACCTGCAGACATCAGCAGTAAGTCTCAGGAGCC